TGTGTGTGTGTGTGTGTGTGTGTGTGTACCCACTCAGCAGAGTGTCCCCAGCGTTACGAGGCCTCGTGGCGTCTCTGTGAAGACGGACTGAGCGTCCACCTGGCTCGTTTGTCTGCGAGCTGCTCACAACGTGAACGTTCAGAACAAAGACGAGCTGTGTTCCTGCTTTTTGTGTAAACACGGGACAGGTGTGGAATGATGTTTTATAAAACCAGTATCGAGGACGCAGCAGGTTCTTTCTCATTCTGTCCCACGGTTATAAGAGAAACATTGAGTAACGTTTCCTTTGTTTTTGTCTTTTCTGCAAAGATGAGAGAAGTTTTGTGCGTTTACAAACCAGCCATCTTCTACGCTTCTCTTTATTTTCTTTATGACTCAAACTGGTGTCAGGGATAATATTTATTATATTCCGGATTTCTGTCAGCGTTCCAAACCATCATCATTGTTCTCGTCTTCTCACCAAGCAAAGACAAGAAGGTATTTCTGCGTCACTGGACCTGCAGACGCAAAATGTCAAATCAATAACTCGACTCTGAAATCTGTTGTTGCACAAACACACTCATGTTAATGATGAGCGACGACACAAACACAATCACAAAAGAGAGTGCGCTCCGAGCACCGTAACAAATCAAATAGACAAGCATCGGATTTTAAGCCAAGACTGGTTTGATCAGGTTTTCACAAGTGATGGCTCGCTGCTCGTCAGTTACTCTGCCTTTATGTCATCATCCATTTTCACTCACTTCTCTTTCTGATGTGTGATTTGTGTGTTTTCCGTTAACGTGCTTGCGTGCGACGTCTCGGCCACCGGACTGTTCTCCACCTCTGTCTTCACTTCAAAACGAGTGACATCATCTCCGTCTGTGTTCTCACAGGACAACAAGGGCTTTGGCATCGGGGAGCTGGTGTGGGGGAAGATCAAGGGATTTTCCTGGTGGCCCGGCATCGTGGTGACGTGGCGTGCTACCGGCAAGAGGCAGGCCAGCCACGGCATGAGGTGGCTGCAGTGGTTTGGAGACGGCAAATTCTCAGAGGTGAGGAGGGAAAGAAAGAACATGCAGACTGAAGGAGGGAGAGAAATAAAATGATAGATGTTTGATGCTGTGTCTTCGTCACCCAGGTTTCTGCAGACAAACTGGACTCCATCATCGCCTTCCCCAAGTTCTTCAGTCAGGCCTCTTACACCAAGCTGGCCTCGTACCGCAGGGCCGTGTTCCAGGCTCTGGAGGTGAGCTTCAGAGAACACGGTCGCTCTGTGGAATGAAAATTAGTTAGTCTCTCAGTGAATCAGTGGTATTAAAATAATAATGCTAGTATTATTAGTAGTGTAGTATATTTAGACTTTTGAACCCTAACTCATCCTGGTCCGGCCTCCTCCCAAACAGACCCACACAATCACACAACCTCCTGCAGTCTCACGTTACTTCCCCCGAGCTCTATATATCTCCACCTCTCTCACTAAGTGTAAGATGGAGATGATGACACATCCACATGTTGAGTGAGCGACAGCAACACACTTTCTAATGGATGATTTTTATCTTCAACACTCACGACTGATTCTGTCACGTTTCGTGTGTAGGAGTTTCAACGCTCCGTCCTCTTCATGGTGTTTTCTCTCTCTCTCTGTCTCAGCCTGGTCTGACCTCTGAGCTTTAGAGAAGCAGGACGAGGTTCAAACGTGTAAAACTATCATTTTCGTCCCCTCTGTTTGTGGAACGTGTGTCCCTCAGATGGCCAGTATTAGGGCGGAGAAGACATTTCCTCCCTGTGAGTCCGACGGGCCAGAGGACCAGGTCAAACCCATGCTGGACTGGGCCAACGGCGGCTTCCTGCCCAAAGGAGAGGAGGGACTCAAACCTACGCACAGCGCCAGTGAGCAAAGCACAGCTGCAGAATGCCAGCTGTAGATTTTGTGCCTCATCTTAATTTGCCCTCATTCTTCCAGGGAATCATTTTAAGTTGTTGTGTTTCCCCTGCAGACAGTAACCCTCTGGATCACCAGGTCCTCGACGTCTCTCTGCCGGAGTACTTCCCCAGCGCCAAGCGGCCCAGAGTCAGCCTCTGTAAGAACAAGGCCGCCCCCGAGGAGTCGTACTGCAGAGGTAGAGTCGAACTTACTCAACATGTTGGACTCAAGAAATATAAACTTAACTCAGTTTCATTCTCATCTTTTCTATAAAAAGATGAAAAACAAATGAGCTCAGGTCTGAAAACAGTTTCATTGTTTTTCCTGTTTCTCAAATGATCCAGTTTGTTTCGTGCTTGAGTTTCTTTTTATCTGTTTCAACGTGACTTCCTGTAGCGGAGGGTGCGTGTGTCCGTTCGGCTGCAATTTGACTTTGCGTCTCCTTTTCTCTCAGAACAAATGGTGAATGAAGTTCTGAAGAATAATTGTAGTATTGAAGGTAAAGACTTTTCACTCTAATGATCAAACGATCAAATGTCGTGTGGTTTCTTTGTTTACGACGGATGTGTGTGTCTCCACAGAGTTCTGTCTCTCCTGTGGAAAGAGGAGAGCTGCAACTTTCCACCCACTGTTTGAAGGAGGCCTGTGCCAAACATGCAAGGTAGAGCAAAGACAATGAGACAGGACAAGTGCAGAAGAATCTCTAAGTGTATGAGCTCGTCTCTTTTCGTTCCGTCTCATCAGAGTGTATTTTCTGTGTGTGTGCAGGACGTGTACCTGGAGATGTCCTACATGTACGATGACGATGGCTACCAGTCTTACTGCACCGTTTGCTGCGGAGGACGAGAAGTTCTGCTCTGCGGCAACGCCAACTGCTGCAGGTCAGGCGACGCACAAGCACACGAAGAGTGAACAATGACCACACCCTCTCTACCAAAGTGTGTGTGTGCCTGTGTGTGTGTGTTTGCATATGCATCCGTTCACCCCCCCACTTCTCCTCTGTCCTCGTCTAGGTGTTTCTGCGTGGACTGCCTGGACATCCTGGTCAATCCCGGAACATCTAACAACGCTCGCTATCTGGACCCATGGCGATGCTACATGTGTCAGCCGCTGCTGCAGTACGGCAGCCTGAAGCGACGGCATGACTGGAGCCTCAAGCTGCAGGAATTCTTCGCCAACGACAACGGACAAGAGTTTGTGAGTTACACTGGCTCATAAATATTTGTCTCTGAGGAACTGGTGAAAACTTAAAAACTTTTCTTTTTCACAATGTTAAAGAAAGTGATGAGAACATTCCTGGATCCGTCACTAGGTCCTGATTCTTCTACTTTTTTATCTTCTAGGAGCAACCAAAGATTTACCCAGCAGTGCCTGCAGAGCAGAGGCGACCAATCAGAGTTCTCTCCCTGTTTGACGGCATCGCCACTGGTGAGAATTAGCGCACGTCAGAAATATGTATTTGTGATTCACCCACCTGAGGTGCAGCAGAGCATCATGGGAGGTACGTTTCTGTTGGCAGGATACCTGGTTCTGAGGGACCTGGGTTTTAAGGTGGACCAGTACGTGGCGTCAGAGGTGTGCGAGGACTCCATCTCAGTGGGCGTGGTCAGACATGAAGGAAAGATCCAGTACGTCCATGATGTGAGAAACATCACCAAGAAAGATGTAAGACTATCATTTCAAGAGTTTCTCCGTTTGCTGCTTTTCTTGGCTTTTTGTCATCTGAAAGAATTTTATATAATTTTCTGCATTAAACCTGAGAGTTCACCTGCGTTCACACTTTTACTATCAGAGCTGGAGTGGTTTGTTCTGTTCCTCTGTCAGTTTGTAACTCGCTCTAACACTAGGTGGTGCTGTTGTCTCCCAGATTCTAGAGTGGGGTCCGTTTGACCTGGTGATCGGAGGAAGTCCCTGCAACGACCTCTCCATCGTCAACCCTGCAAGGAAAGGCCTCTATGGTAGGTTCCTGCCAGAGGGAGTGACGTCATCCTCATGTTCTTAATCATTTTCTTTAATCATCTTTTTCATATTCTAATGATTTCTGCTCATTTAATCAAATCCAATTTTATTTGTATCGCCCAAATTCACAAAACACATTTTGCCTCAGAGGGCTTTACAATCTGTACAGGGAGTGACACCCTCTGTCCTTAGACCCTCGGTTCGAGTGAGGAAAAACTTTTTAACAGGAAACGAAGGTGGAAGACGCTAATGTTGCGTCATTGTTTTAAAAGATGCCTTCAAGTATATTGGAAATTCCAGTCATTCATATTTTATTGTTACCAGTTCAGTGTCGTCTGTGGTGAAACTGTAAAAGTAATTGAGCCCCAGCCAAAAGAGACGTGGACGTGGAGAATCAGTTGTCGGAAGTGAACCTAGCATTAATGAGTCTCTGCCCCAGAGCGCTGGTCGCCTGTTTAAATCACTGGACCCTGAACAACACACAAGTAAATACGTTCTAGAGACACGGACAAAGATTTCTGGAGCTAACAGTGAATATGTGAATATTGTTTCACAATTCTGCTTATGAAAAGAGTTATTTGTTTCTCTAAGGTAAAATGAATAAACTTTGATATACTGAGTTGCACTGAAGCATGTTCTGGACGTTGTCTCGGACTCTGACGGTGTCTTGTTGCTCTAGAAGGCACAGGGAGGTTGTTCTTTGAGTTCTACCGGCTGCTGAGCGAAGCCAAGCCCAAGGAAGGAGAGGACCGGCCGTTCTTCTGGATGTTCGAAAACGTGGTCGCCATGGGCGTCAACGACAAGAGGGACATCTCCCGATTCCTGGAGGTGAGTTACCGCTTCTGTCGAGTTGAAACGGGCCCAGATGTCAAACACCACAGTGGGAGCAGCTCACTAAACTGGGCCAGGTACTTTATTGGTCGTGTGTCCGACTCCTGGACTTTTCCCATTGGCTGTTTCAATTTAAAAGCAGAAAAAACAGTCAGGGAGCAGATGTTTCGTGAAATCTGAGCACAAGCGCAGTTTTAGCACAAGCTGTTTGAGTGAGAGTGCAGAGTTTTCAGTGAAGTTACAGATCTGAATGTGAAATCAAGAAGTAAAAAGTAAAAAAGACAGAGAGAACAAACATCCACAGCCAAACGAGAAAAGAATTTAGATTTGAATTTTTTTTCAAATCTAAATTCTTGCCATTTGGTTCCGTGTGAGGAAAATAAACAATCAAGTGCCAGAAAGCGTTTTACGAGCTGTGATTTAATGAGGTGATGAGTTCATCTGTAGTAATGTGATTCCCTGTGGATTTTTATTTTGCAGTGTAACCCTGTCATGATTGATGCGATTGAGGTTTCTGCTGCTCACCGTGCTCGATACTTCTGGGGAAACTTGCCAGGCATGAACAGGTCGGTAAACTCCTGCGCAGCTTCAGGCTCGTTTTATTAGAAGTGCAGTGAGCTGAGGTAAACAGTGTGCAGCAAGACATGTGAGGACATCTCTCTGTTTCAGGCCTCTGTGTGCGTCTGGGATGGACAAGCTGGAGCTGCAGGACTGTCTGGATCACGGCAGAGTGGCAAAGGTCAGATATCTGCATGATACACAACCAGCTGCTCTCACTGTGGTTATGTTGGGGGCATTTGTGTGAAAGTGTGTTTGTGGTCTCACAGTTTGGAAAAGTGCGAACCATCACTACTCGTTCCAACTCCATCAAACAGGGGAAAGACCAGCACTTCCCCGTCCTGATGAATGGGAAGGAGGACATACTGTGGTGCACGGAGCTGGAGAGGTGAGCAGAACACACGGTCACAGGGTTCTCAGACTTCAGATTGTCCTCGTCTTCCACGTGCATGGCTCTGGTCTTAAAGCAGCATGATGGTAACGTTCTTCGTGTTGTTCTTCCTCCTGCAGGATCTTCGGTTTCCCCGTTCACTACACAGACGTGTCCAACATGGGTCGCGGTGCCCGACAGAAGCTCCTGGGCCGGTCCTGGAGCGTCCCTGTCATCAGGCATCTGTTCGCACCACTCAAAGACTACTACGCCTGTGAATAAAAACCAGCCATCACCAGGAAAACAGACGCCACATGTGAACACACAGCGTGATGCCGGCTGTCAGAAACATCCTGCTGTAACGAACAGGAGATTTAAACATCTCTGTCAGAACGGAGGCTTCTCAGAGTCGCTGGGAAAATAGTGACATAGCTGTTATAATGCACTGTAGCCTTAAACACACACTAACACACAGACACACAAACAGAAGAGGTGAGCACCTTCATCACCGGAGGAGGGAAAGGGGGGGGGGCAAAGGTCAAAGTGATGCAAGTTGCGTCGTCTTGGGGGGGGGGGGGTTCAAAGGGAAAGAAGATCACACTCGCTCCTTCATTTCGTTAAGAAGACGAGGACTTGATTTAATAGATGTGTATTTTTTTAGGGCATTGTTTTTAAGTTCAACACTTTTTAGTTGTAGGAAAATATAAAAACAATGCAAACCAACTTTTTAAGTGGCTCCATATCACAAAGTTTATCAGAGGTCACTCGTCTTCGCTCCTCATGATTCTAACATGTGACGATGTTAATCTAAGGAACCTACTTGTTATCTGACTCGGACCAAAGTTATCGGGCGTCTTTGAACGTCTCCTGCTGTTTCACTAGTCTTAGCATTATTAACACTATTTTAAATATCCGGCAGTTTCTAAAGTCTCACAGCTGTTTCTCACCATAACTACATATCACATAAGTCTTAGCCACAGAAATACTGTGAAAGAGAAAACTAACTTTTATTAAAGATTTTATGAGCATTTTTTTTGTATCGACAGTGTGAAACTTTGAGTTGTTTTAATGTCACAGCGACGTCTCCCTGAGAGCGACACACAAATACTTGAAACAAAGCCAATGCAAAAACAGATGTAGAGGAGGGTTTGTCTTTTATCAACCTTAGGAACTAAGAGTGGTTCTGTTCATTCGACTGTAGATGTTTGATGATGGTTTTAATGATAAAAGTAGCTTGAGTTTAGTTTTAATCCTGGAAAACAAATGAGTCTGTAACTCTGGTTCAAAACTTTTTCCAGAAATTAAAAAAAGAGATGGACACAATATTTTTGTAAACTATCACTGACTACTTTTTCTTTAAAGACGTTTTTCAGTTTAAAAAAAAACAGATTCAGAGGACTGCCATGAAAATCATTTAAAAGATGCCTTCTCAAGGTCTGTGTGGGGCACATGCTTCTGTATGGTATGTTTACATCATGCCAAGTAAGTATTACCCTCTGTCATGTAGAGAAGAACTGTTGTTACCCCGTGAGACGTTAACACCAAACTATCGTAGTTTACACATTTCCATCATCTACTAAAGATCCAGTATCAGCTGTTGACTGGAACATGTTTCTCAGGCTGAATGCTTCAGCTTCAGGGTGTTAACCAGAAATCTACTGTGACCTCACTCACCTTTCAAATGTTGATGTTATTTTGAAAACTGGAAGATTTTTTCTATCGTCACCAAATTAAAGTAAACGGGCATTACCTCAGACACAGGACAACTGTGCACCACTCGTCCTTTAGTGTCTCTATTCTGTGAATATATGCTGTAGCTTTCTGCTCCCATATGACCTGTATGTGTATGTGTATCTATATTTAGCTTGTATTTTATCACTGGAACTGTTTTTTACATAGTGTTTTGTTTACTGTATCCATAGAAAGGTTTACAAGTCTTTTAACTCTCTTGTTTGACCAAGAACTAGTTTTTTCTTTTACAAAAACATGCACAAGTCTTTGCAAATCGCTGTTTTAATGTTAAATGAGCAGCTGACTTAGAAAGAGTCCTCAGTGGTGCTCCCCCACTTAAAGAGCCACCAGGATCCTTCTTTTACTTTCAAGTCTGATTTTACTGTTTTTAAAAACAGAAAGTAACTGTTTACATGCTTTGTTAACACTGATGAATCTGTTGAATGTTTAATGAAACCAGTTCACAAATAGTTTTTCTCTTTTGTAACTGCTCTTTTAAGACTTTTTATGTATGTTAAGAAGATACAGTTTATATTAACACCACACAAAGCTTGCTTGAATTTTGTTATAACACGATAGAACATATTAATCAATAGCTGTTTGACATAGTGTGTTATTTACATGTAAACCCTTTGCGTGTGTATTTGTAGACATCTGAGAACAGTTTCTGCTTTTTCCTCTTAAACTGCTTTGTGCTTTATCTTTTATCAGAGGTTTGTGTTTCTGCTTTTAGTTTTGTTGTTTTACTTTTTATGAATCAAAAGTGCAAAAGCATTTCAAAAGATCGGATTCTGTGTTATTTTTATACTTTTTTAGGAGAGAACATTTTTTTAATGTTTTTTTATTTTTTGTGTAATTCCTATAGCAACATATATATAATTTTACTCAATAAAAAACAGCTTAATGCTAAAATCCACTGACACGTGTCCTGTTTGAGCTGCTGAGCCACCTGTGAGCATTTACCTGACGTTGGAAGATTCCTCCCAAGGGTCAAAGGTCAATGAGAATGAAAGTAATTACTTTCATCATTGGTTTTATTCCATGTCGCAATTATATAGATAGATATAGATAGATACTTATCGATCCTGAGGCTATATTCATACTCATATTATAAGAATAACAAAAGGTGAAGAATCATGAATAAGTTCACTGCGGTGAGATGAAAGTCACCAGAACTACCACAGATCTGTGAGTGTAAAGAAATATGTGCTGATGGAGACACAGAGGAGACAGATATTTGGCAAAGTACTGAAGCTGAATATAAATACAGATTTAAAGATAAAAAACTGAAGCTACAAAAAGTTAGACCAACACACTATAAAATGATGGTGCAGCATTTAAAAAAAGTTATAACAGTGCAAGAGTAAAACTTACAAGACTA